GGACTTGGTTTGGAGAACTGATTTTCCTTGAGCGAAAGACGAGATCAGCATAATTACATGGACAAGAACGAAAGTATCTCGTTAAGCTTGTCCATATAGTACTAATGAGTCAGCCTTTACTAAAAGATACTGTCCTCAATCCTTGGCAATACTGATTTGAAACCCCTGTGCATTCGTGATAAACGTCACGTTGAAATCAATTTGTGTTTGCATAATGTGAATGAAATAACTAGAAGGATAGTAACTGCTAGTAACTGATAGTTATAACCGTAGATTATAGTCTTTTATTGTCGATGTATGGGACGAATTGATCAGACAAAATGGGATAGTCCTACTAGTGTGTAGAGGTTTTGTTGCTTACCCATAGACGGTGGCCTTTAGGAATAAGTTAGAGAGGGTTGAACTTCATGCAACTGGACTTGTTCATGGAATGCGCGACATAGATTACGATAGTCGGCTTCAATTTTCGGGTATATCTCTGGAGGTATGCTGAAAGACCATAGGTGAAGTCATCTGTTTTCTTCAAATTCTACTAGACGACCTGGGTTCGAAACTGCAAGCGCAGTCCTCTTCAGGGCGAATGATCGCACATGGGGTCATTTTTTACACCGCAGAATCAGAAATATGTCCATCTGACACCGGTCTTAAGCCTCTCAAGAAGGGAAATAAATCTTGGTTGCTGTTTATTGGCAGAGGTGACTGAAGATTAGGGAAATGCATGGTTTATAAGCCGACCGGCTGCATAACCGTTAGTAAAAGACCGAACCTTGACATCGTGTGACAGTCTGATATCCCTTTGGCCCAATGAAAAAAAAACGGATGATTTTTGTTAAGTTGAGGATCTAAACAGACGTGGAAGACCGAAGGTTAGAGGTCAGACAAAATGCAGTCTGTTGGTGTTGGACTCCATTTGGTTTCTCAGTCGGTAAAAATGGTGGAGGAGTAATCGATCCAAATATGTGAATCAATATTTAATTTTACCCTCTTCTTTGTGGTCACGTTCTTGCCAAAAACAAAGGCTTGGATTGAAATTCCTGATCACTTCCAAACCAAGTGTCTGGTCTCCCTAGCAGCGCTTGTCAACAGTACTTCTGTGAACATACAGACCAAAAATAATTTCAATCTGTTTGGGTCATTGCGCTCGAAAATCAGGACTGTTCTCCTCGCTGCATCTATAGGGGTCGGTAGTGATAATTGATCGGCTGCTCAGACATCTCTTGATTTGCCTATAATGGAAAAAGGATCTAAAACATTCTTGCACACCAGCTGCCGTCATTGCACTACGCTTACCTTCATTAATACTCGGTAGGAAACAAATAGTACCTGATACCTTGTTACATAAAAGTAGTAGAAGATTTTATACGATTTAATAATTAACTTGATACTATACAGAACGCCTGGGAGCAACGCTCTATCACATAAAAAGCTCCCTTATTTAGTCAAAGCAATTCCTCCACCACTCTCACTTAGCTAGTGATTATGTTCGGAATGCTTAAAACCAAGTCAGATTCCCAGAGACCAACACTGAAAGGAGCGAAGTGTGAGGATATACTGTGTTTTATCGTACGTATGTAAAATAGAAAGAACGGTGATCTAGTGAGTAGTATGCTCGCGTTCTATCCGTGAGGTCACGGGTTCGATCCTCGGTTGTTCGGATGACTTTGCACTGCCAATGAGATCCTACCCGATGGAAACAACCGTACAGTTCACACTGCATTTTCTCTGTGCACGACGATATACACAATGTATTTCCCTATTTGTTTAGTTCTCAGTCTCCCATTCTAACCCATTTCTTTTTCCCTTATCTCTTCTCCCAGTACTTTTTTGTCATTCGTAAAACGTAGCTGCCAAATAGCTCAATAATTAGTGCATCATCACATAAATTATGAATTCTAAAACCGCGTCACACTCTGAATCTGTGGAAGTTCAAGAGGGCTCTCATTTAGATTGGTCAACAATCTTTCTTTGCCTGCAAAATCGACTTCATGTTGATTCATTCTTTCTGATCATCATAAACATACATTTAGGATGCTAATAGTAAATGCTATCTTCCTGCACCCAGTCCGTCCTCAAGTTATTTTTTTAGTACAAAACGAGACATTGAAGCGCGATCACTAGGTCATCATGGATTAGGTGTCCTACTGAACTAAAACGTTCAAGGCGTAGTGATTGATCGGATTCCTATCCATAGCCACCAATGTGTGACAGTAATCTATGGTTCAGTTATTCTCCATGAGATAAGCAACACCAAAATATGCTTTTTCATCTTTTCTGCACATTTCACAATCAATGGTAGTCACAAATTTTACAACAAACTGAACCCATTCGGTTGAGAAACAATTGTGATGTGATTCGGCTGCAGGTAATTGTGAAGCAAAAGATGAAAAGCGTATTTAGAAGATTTGTTTGCCTGTCCAACAAACATATAACACACACGGATGGCAATGCGCTGCTGAGTGAAGATCCAGGTGAGTTGCAAGGATAGTTTGAAAGCTTGTGTATCTATTTTTGGCATATGTTTTGCACCTTCAAAGTGTAAGATGTTGCTACAGGACTGGGTTGTTCCAACCTCCAAACTCATTATAAATGGAGAAAGAATACAGGTGATGAACACATTTTGCTACTTGGACAGCTACATCTCATCCGATCGAAGCATCCCGGATTAAGTGTCGGCACGCCCACAGAAGGCTCGATTGGCATTTTCATTCTTGAGTCATTTCTGGCGCCATCTGGCTGGCATCTTAGACACCAAACTATCTCCAAGACCACAGCATTTCCGTTCGTGGGACTGCAAAAATACCTCGTTCTGCGCCTGTGAATGTTGTTGTCCCATAAGGTTCTATAATTTCCCGTTCCTTTTTTTCTGATGTTTATTGATGGCATCGTTTTTCAAATAAAATCATTTACTCGTCTTTACTGATGATAATGCTCTACACTCTTCTTTGTCCTATTTCTGTTTACGCATTGCTAGCTTCAATATTAGCGATGACCGCTCCTTCTTCAGTTTCTCCCTAAATTCTGATTTGGGTCTCACTCCTGCTTGAGGCTGTTACCAACGTGTTGTCTTTAGTGCCAGTAAAACTTCTTTTATGTTCATTTCTCTTAAACATGAATCTTTCTCCTCTTTGTTAAATTTTTACTCAAACACTCTCCGTTCCACAGATTTATGCAACTTATTGGGACTGTCCTTATCTTCCTCCGTTTTACGGTCACCATAACTTTATCCACTTGTCTCCCTCGCTGAGCGCAACATCGCCTTCCTATTCTGCGCCAGACGTTCCTTCACTTCAAGTTACCTCGTTTCGTTTTAAAAAGCTCATATTCGCCCTACACTTGAATACTGCAGTCATGTGTGGGGTGCAGCTTCATCCACCTGTATCTGTATCTTCTTGATCAGGTTCAAAATAAGGCCATTCGTCTCATCAAAGATCCGTCCCCAACATGTGACTTGCAGTCAGTAGCTCATCGTCGAGCAGTCGCTTCATTATCTTTATTATATTGATACCGTTTTGAATCTTGCTGTAGTCAACTTGCCGTTTATGTCCCTTTCGCATTTGTTCTTCTTCGCGGGTCTCGTATACAAGTGCCTAGTCACTGATTTAAAGTGACCATCATCAGCTGTCGCATTCCACGCTGTCAGTCATCATTTTTTCCCAAGAACAGCAAATCATCCTCCTCTTTCAATATTCCATCCAACTTACATCCATGGTTTCCCGCAATCGGGTGATAACTTTATATA